GTTTAGGGTTTAGGGTTTAGGGTTTAGGGTTTAGGGTTTAGGGTTTAGGGTTTAGGGTTTGTTTACGGGCTTGCAGAGGCTGCGAGTCTGTTGTAGAGACAGAGTGAAAGATAAGGAAGGAAATGAATTTCCTTCACCAATGCAGATATTACCCGAGGGCTTAAAGGCCTAATCACAAACCCTAAACCCTAAACCCTAAACCCTAAACCCTAAACCCTAAACCCTAATTCCTAAACAGCAGCGAAACGGAGAGTCAGTCTGTCCTCTGCAGTTACTTATTAAACCCTAAACCCTAAACCATCGAAACAGCACTCCCGATAAAACTGCCCCAAACCCTAAACCCTAAACCCTAAACCCTAAACCCTTACCGTTCTATCCACTCTTCCTCAGTGATTCTTTTAAGTTTAATCCCCAGATATTTAAACAAAATAGACGCAGAAGAGACAGATGAAGAAGAGACAGATGATGAAGAGACAGATGATGAAGAGACAGATGAAGAAGCAAAGAAAGCCTCCGCAGCCGCCAAATCGAAACAGTTCACCACGTATACGCTGAAATCCCGCTGCACCCATAAACCCTAAACCCTAAACCCTAAACCCTAAACCCTAAACCCTTACAATAAGCATTAGGCAGCAAGCCCAGAACCGCAGATAATAAACCCTAAACCGTAGACAATCTCTACAAGAGGAAATACAGCGGCGTAAACCCTCACCCATACACCCTAATAAACCCTAAACCCTAAACCCTAAACCCTAAACCCTAAACCGTAGGGGTATGTTTACCTGTAGATATAGGATTTGTTGTTGGGCCCCGCAGAAGACTTTAAGTATATTAGGGTTTGCAGTAAGAGCGTTAAGTTTATATATATGTGAATATATTTTATAGGGGTCTATAATAAAGTCTTTACCCCCTGTGCTCAAAATTAAAACGCAGCTAAACCCTCGATAACTTCCTGAGAATGTCTTTACTTCAATCGCCAGTATACCGCATGCAGCTGTACACCCCGAACAAAGACAGACAAATATATCAATTAATCAATTAATAATATTTAATCTATCAAATATATTATACACTGCAGTGCTATGAACGGGGTGCTCGTTAGGGTTTAGGGTTTTATAGGGTCAGTTAACTTTAATTAGGGTTTAGGGGTAATTTAGATGAATTACGGGGGATTAGGGTTTAGGGCTTATCAGGGTTTAGGGTTTACAAGGGTTTAGGGTCTATGAGGGTTAATTAGGGTTTACGCGGGTCAATTACGGTTTATAAAGGTCTAGGGTTTAGGGTCTATGAGGGTTAATTAGGGTTTACGAGGGTTTAGTAGGGTTTAAGAGGGTTAAATAGGGTATATGAGGATTAATTAGGGTTTAGGGTTTAGGGTGTAGGGTTTAGGGTTAATAAGGGTGAATTAGGGTTAATGAGGGTTAATTAGGCTGTTGAACAGAGACTAAGTAGGGTGTATGAGGACTAATTAGGGTTTAGCGTTTAGGGTTTAGGGTTTAGGGTTTAGGGTTTAGGGTTTAGGGTTTACAAGATTCTAGGTCTTGTATGAATGCGTAGAGGTCTGCAAGCGAGCGAATGAATGTACAGTCGCTGCCGTTCAAAGGCGATGCGGGGTCAGGGGGCAGCAAGCTGCCGCAGCCTACAAATAAATAAATAAATAAATTAATTAATTAATTAATTAATTAATTAATATGTAAATGCTTATTAATTTATGCATGCGTAGTATATTTATAATATAATGTAATATCATATTAAGAGACAGAAAGGAGACAAATATATATATATATATATATACATTATATGTATATATGCTTCCTAATAATATGTATATATGTATATATATATATATGTATCTATATATATATATGTATATATATATATATATATATATATATTATTAAGAAGCAGACGGCTACAGATGAACCAAATATAAAAAGATAAAAGAGAGCGAAGAATATGAAAAGAGGCAAAAAAATATACTTCGAGACATTATAACTGTACATGGCTGCCACCTACCTAGGGTTTAGGGTTTAGGGTTTAGGGTTTAGGGTTTAGGGTTTAGGGTTTAGGGTTTACCTGGGGGTTCAAAAGGAAGGGTCTCAATTTCTAGCTGATAAGGATGTGGTAGAGAGAAAGCCCCTTCTTGTAATATGAAGGTTTCATAATTAAATAGTTTATTATATTTATTTTTATTATTTTTATAGCGTATACCCCTTGCAACATCTTTATATGTTTTTCTTTGAGCTGCCTGTACAGCTGAAGGTAATGAAGTTATACTGTGGGGTTTAATCGACAGCTTAGGGACGAAGTTTAACTCAAAATTATCAATTAAATGCAACCAAAAGCGCTGAGGTAGCCGCTGCTGCTGCTGCTCTCCGCTGCCCCTCGCCCCCCTCCATAATGCCTCAAGAGACATCCCTAAACCCTAAACCCTAAACCCTAAACCCTAAACCCTAAACCCTAAACCCTAAACCCTGAATCTTGAGGCCTGAGCCTTAAGGCCTGGGTGATATTATCAAACCATAAACCCTAATAATAGACACAGAGACATATATACACCCTATGCATGAATAATAAGCAAAACAATGTAATTCACAAAACTTATAATATTTACACGACAAACCCTAAACCCTCATAAACCCTAAACCCTAAACAGTCTCCCAACTTAAACCCTTTACAACTTCCTATACACACACATTCATTCGAAGAGAAGGAAACCCCTAATAAGGGGCTCAGAGTTTAGGGTTTAGGGTTTAGGGTTTAGGGTTTGGCGTTGCTGCAGAGCAGCCAAGGGACACACACCACGTGCTGAGCTTAGGGTTTAGGGTTTAGGGTTTAGGGTTTTGAAGGTGAATATGAATATAAAAGGAATACACCACAGAATTTCTACTATGCGAACGATGAAATGCCACCACCCGCCTACACCTGTGTGGAGCCAACCCATAAACCCTAAACCCTAAACCCTAAACCCTAAACCCTAAACCCTAAACCCTAAACCCTGAAACTCTACGAAATAAAGACAAAATAACAATATTAAACACTAACAAACCAAATAAACTTCTACTTCTTCTTCCCTACCGCCACACGGTGACCCTCTTTGGTGGTGCCGACCAGACCAGCCCATCCTTAAACCCTAAACCCTAAACCCTAAACCCTAAACCCTAGATTTTGAATTTTCTTTAAATATTTTATTTAATTTGTTTAGGGTTTTATAATATAAAACCTTTTAATCTCTGTCTTATTGGGGCTTTCTAGGGTTCGCTGCTCCCTCTTCTTCTTCAGAGCGAAGCGAATACTGTTTTTCTTTTCCTAAACCCTAAACCCTAAACCCTAAACCCTAAACCCTAAACCCTAAACCCTAAACCCTAAACCCTAGAGGAGGAGTTGGTTTGTGAGAGGGAGGCGAACAGCGTTGCATCTGCCTTCAAGATATTTAAGCCCTCCGTTTGTAGGGGCCCTGATGATGTCTCTCCAGTTAGAGAAGGAGACACATTTTATATTGTCTCCTGCTGCTGCTGCTGCTGCTGCTTGTTTGAATGGGCTCCTTAAAGGAGACAATGCGGCTGCTGCTGCTGCTGTTGCTGCTGCTGTTGGTGCTCTTCGCTTAGGCGTCGCCGCCTCCGCAGCAGCAGCTCCTGCTGCTTCTGCTGCTGTTGCTGCTGCCCCTTTTGCTGCTCCTGCTGCTGCTGCTGCTGTTGCTGCTGCTGCTGCTGCTGCTGCTGGCACTGGGGGTTTTTCTTCGGGCTTATAGTGGAGACACTTCGCAATATCAATCTGCGGGGCTAAGCAAACCCTCCTGCGGATTATCGCCTCCCTGCAAACAAAAACCCTAAACCCTAAACCCTAAACCCTAAACCCTAAACCGCTAAAGTTAGGAAACCCTAACTTTTGGGGGCCCCTAAACCCCAGAAGGTTTCGCAGGTTGGGGTGGCTAAGGTAACCCGGGAGTCTAAACCCTAAACCCTAAACCCTAAACCCTAAACCCTAAACCCTAATTGGGGTTTACCTGGCTACAGCTGCTGCAACTGCTCGCTGGGTGTCAAGGAATTCATCTCTGCTGAGGCGAGCGAAGGCAGCAGCAGCAGCGCTTAGCTGCTGCGGCTTGTCTTGCTGCAGCTTGCTGTTGTTGCTGCTGCTGCTGCTGGATTCACTTTTGCTGCTGGTTTTGTTCTTGCTGCTGCTGCTGGTGCTGCTGCTGCTGCTAAGGGGCTTATTAGTACAGACACCCCAAAGAGACAACACTGCAGCAGAGAGACAGTTGCTGCTGCTGCCAGCTGTTAGCTGCTTCTTTACCTCAATACAGAGACAACAAGCAGCATCAGATACACCGTACAGAGGGTGCGGCAGCAATGCGCGTTGCTGCTGCAGCTGCTCCTGCTGCTGCTGCTCCAGAGGATCACTGCTGCTGCTGCTGCTGCTGCTGCAGCGGCGGAAGTTTGAGAGAGGATCTCTGAGGCCCCTTGCTGCTCCGGTTGCTGCAAGCTGACGGCTGGTTGCATAGCCGACGAACCATCTGCTGCTGCTGTTGCTGCTGCTGCTGCTGCTGTAGCGCCAGAGGTGCTTCTGCTGCTGCTGCTGCTGCAGGATACGGCAGTCGCAGAGACACCCTAACAAGTGCAGCGGGGGCTCCAGACAGAAGCGGGTGCTGACGCCTGTTAGCTGCTGCAAGGAGACACCATTCAGCTGCAAAGGAGACAGACAAGCAGCATTTAAACTACCAGCAGCTGCAGCAGCAGCAGCAGCAGGGGAGCTGCAGCAGCGAAGGTGCCGCCAGCAGCAGCAGCAGCAACAGCAACGAGACTACACCTCCAGCAACAGCAGCTGCAATATCACCAACAGCAACAGCAACAGCAGCAGCAGCATCACCAGCAGCAGCAGCAACGGCTGCATCAGCACCACCAGCAACAGCAGCAGCACCACCACTAGCAGCACCAGCAGCAGCAGCAGCAGCAGCAAGAGCAGCAGGAGGAGACTACCGTATTGGCTTCTGTATCTTGTTTTTGCTGCTGCAGTTGGAGACCGTAAGCTGTAAGAAGTGCTGCTCTTTGTGCTGCAAGACGAAGAGACAGCGCTTCTGAGGCTGCTGCTGAGTAGAGAGGGCCGACAGCAGCAGACAGCAGCCGCTGTCTCTTCTCTCCTACACACAAACACAATCGCACTTCTTCCTGCTGCTGCTGCTCCTGCTGCTGCTGCTGATGCTGCTGATGTTGCTGATGCTGCTGCTGCTGCTGATACTGCTGCTGCTGATGCTGCTGCTAAGCAGCGAAGCCGACGTATGTTGGGTGGGAGTTAGGGTTTAGGGTTTATTGTTCATTTGTTAGGGTTTAGGGTTTAGGGTTTAGGGTTTAGGTGTACCTGAGAGGAGACGGGAGAGCTGGTGGAGCATCTCGGGTCTGCCAGCAGCAGCAGCAGCAGCAGCAGCAGCAGCAGCAGCAGGCGCGTTGCTGCTGATATCAGCAGCAAAAGGAGGTTGGGTTGGAAGAGACAGTCTAACTAAAGAAGAGACAGTCTCTATAGGGAAGCAGCTGCGAAGGATATTTGCTGCTGCAGGAGCTGAAGCAGGCGAAGCAGCAGCAGCAGCAGCAGCAGCAGCAACGCATGCGCGTCGCCGCTGCTCTGTTGCAGCAGCTAAACGGAAGAAGGAGACAGCAGGAGGAAGGCAGCTGTACAGACACCTCGAGGGAGGCGGAGGCAAGCAGAAGCAGCGAGCAAATAAACAAGCAGGCAGCAAAGACAGAGCAGCAGATGAGTAGTTGCAGCCAGCAGCAGCAGCAAACGCATGCATATCCGCTTGCGCCAGCAGACCTAATCACACACAAAACAGCAGCACACTCAACCACTATCAGCTGCAGCAGCAGCAAGAAGAGCAGCAGCAGCAGCAGCAGCAAGAGAGGAAGAGGAGCAGCAGCAAGAAGAGCAGCAGCAGCAGAAGCAGCAAAAACATCAATGCAAGCAGCAGCAGCACCAAGCAAAGCAGCAGCAGCAGCAGAAAGTAGAGCAGCAGCTGCAGCAGCAAGTAGAGCAGCAGCAGCTGCAGCAGCAAGTAGAGCAGCAGCAGCAGCAGCAG